ACATGAGAAGTAGTTTATATACAACTTAATTACAGTAGCTTCTTCTTCCCACTCGTCCTAATTTTGCTGAGAGTTGTAGGAACAACAGATTACAGGACTGTGACTGCCCTGATTGCTAAGTAAGCCATTTGACAAGACAATAAAGGATACATGGTAACATTATTATCCCAATTTCCATTTTTGCAGCCATTGTATGAATTCAATCTGGATAGCTTCAATATAAATAGAGGTTTAGTCCCCAGTGAATTTGAAACTCATTTCAAATTATTATTCCCAAAACAAACTAGGACTCTTTGGTAAACTCAAGAATTCAGCCTGTATTCTCCCCTCTAAAACTATTTTCTCCAAGGGTGATTTTAGTCTTCTCCATTCACTATGTCCTATAAATCCTTAACAGTGTTTTGAGGAACAATATGAAAGCAAGAAAGAAAACGACAGCTGGATTTACTACACCAGAACAACACACACACAATGTTCTCAGAAGCATTGCTCATTCATCTCAGGTTGCATGAATGGCTGCAGTGGTGATGCCCTTATTAAATGCTGAACCTGATGTGCAAACTTTGGAATACATTAAATGCATTGAAGTAAGGTTCATAGATTTTCTCAGGTTAGAAGGAAAACAGAAGGATCATCATGTCCAACTCCCTGCTCCTTGCAAGACTACCTAAAACTATACCAGATGACTAAGAGCATCATCCAGTTTCTCCAAGCTCCAGTGTTTCTAACACTGAGAACTCCAGAGGTCCCCACGCACCAAATAGCTGTATCTGCTACCATAGAACCAGCATTAGAATCTCTGTCCCAAGGCAATGCAGATACACTCAACAGTATGGGTGGTGGGCATCAGCTCTAGTTGAAACCAGCAGTAAAAAGACACCCAGATAGCAATATAGAAGAATCAGACTTACCCAAGTCACCAAGAAGTCAAGGGAAGTGTTTGGAAGAGCTATGAGAGAGAAGAGCTTTTATATCAGAGCGTTTGGGAGGCACAAGATCAACGGTAGCTTCCCGCCCCAATTTCAAACACGTGTAACCCATCAAGATGATGAAATTGCTGTTTTCGTTATTGGCGTTTATGAGTCCTTTCAAATTTGTTTGTATAAGGATGTAAACATTACTTTATAGATATTTCTTTCATCTTGTGACAATTTGGGGAAAATGAATACCTGGCATTATTCCAGTTGCTTCCTTGAAGTTACAACAGAAATTATTAAGCCACCTCCTCTTGTATTAACACCTGGAGAGTGTCTCATGAGTTTATCAAAATTACAAACTGTTGTCGTGGACAGGATTTTTGTTTAAGTGCATATGATTCATATTACAACCTGCCAGGATGAAAGGTAAAGACTGTGAATGTGACAGGAAGGTTGGGGGTGATTTAGCTTCCCCACCTACAGTAGGGGGACACAGCGAAGTTGGGAGTCAATGCTATTTTGCAGTGGCATTTGACAGTGGCTAAAATGGGGACAATTCAGTTCAGAAGAGAAACAGCAACTCCAGGGACTTGCTTCAGTCTCTAAATAGGTTTTGTGTGGAAACTGAAAATCAACTTGAACAAAAAAAAAGAAAAGAAATGCTTCATTTTGTCATGTTGGGAGCTCTTTTCATTCAGCTACGATCTGAATCAGTTTCTGCATCCATCGATCGCTCAAACAGTTGCATTCTCCTGCAAAAAAAAAAAAAAAATGTGTAGAACTAACTTCGCAGAATTTCACACAGAAGATGGGGGGGAAGCCTTCATCTTCCTCAAGCTGGCTTTTGGTTTTTAGGACATAAGCAAGGAATGAGTTTCTGAAGTTAACTAAAGGGATAGGAGATCCCAAAGAGACTTTTTTTCAGGTATTGCTGGCTTGATGTTGCCAGTACAAAGATGGTATTTGAGAATATTTAACAGATCTGAGGAAATCTAAGTTTTATCTTTACACCAATGGAACCTCTGGTGTAAAAAATGAAATGTGACAGAAGTGCTTTGATTCATTGATTTTGATCCTCAGGAATTCATAACCTCTTGTAATACACTATTGTGGCTGCAAGCCGTAAGTCCAGAACAGGGCTGAACTGGCAGTTTCTTGGGAACAGGGAACAATTACACACCTGGAGTGCACCACAGAAAACAAAGGCTGGTTCTTCCCTTCTTTACAGGTGTATCATTTTACTACTGCAGACTCTACGCCACAGATTATCTCTAAATTATGAGGTGGGTTTCTTAGCCTTTGAGGTGGTTGAAAGTTCTGTTGGACAATAATATTTTCAAGCTTTCAGGGAGCAAATCTTTTCAAATGCTACAAACTATCCACTAATGGTTTGCAAATACAATCTTACATTAGACTGAAGGCATGTACCTGGATTCAGGTATCTAGCAATTATGGAATGACATCACATTAAAGTATGTAAGCCAAGATATTTGTGTTCTTGGTATAATCAGTTCATGGACGAATACTGAGGATTTGGTAACCTTCCTTTTATTTAATAGTCTAGATTTGAATAAGATACAAAGTTTTACATAAAATACAGCATTTCACAAGCTGTATAATCAGTGTATCCTTATCATTTTTAGTCACACAGACCACAGAAACAGAGGACTCATTACTTTAGATGTTCCAATTCTATCAATGATCAGCCTTTATTCATGTAAATGATTTTCTCTTTATCGTGGCATATATCCAGGTAGCTTTAGCAAGTTTCCACCAGTCACGTTTCATTAATTTTGTTCCTCAGAAGTATTCAGTACTGCCTGATCTGAAGATGGACTTAACCCCAGGAATCCTGGATCCCTAAAGGCGAGGATGATTTTCTGTCAGGAGACAGAAAACTAGAAAATGTGGCAGTCAAATGCCTCACAAAGAAATCTTGAGAACAGAAAGGTTAATTATTAGTTTGCCTCTAGACTCCAACCTGGGTTGAAATACACTGAGGGATCTGTTAAACAAATCTTAGTAGTTTAAAAGGATGTTCTATTCCTGCCTTTTGCTTAATATGGTCCAAAGGATTTGCCCGGTTTTGGGATAAGGACAGGGAGAGTAAGTAATCCACAACTGAATGCACAACAAAGAAGGCAAGAGGTGCTTCCTCAAGTCCTTTGTTCATTAGATGAGGCCAGCATTGTGTTAGTAGCAAAATCAAAACAACAGAAAACCATTTAAACTCCACAGGATATTTTCTATGACTTCCTTTGGGTGCAGTATTGGTCTCACATTAAGCACAAATGATCAAGATAAAAATGACTACCCAAAGCTGTTCCAATGGAACTCCATTTTATCTCCAGGTGTCTTACAGCCTGGATCTAATGGAAAAATCTGTGCACATCGAGCGACCATGCCACGCAATGGGTTTTGCCATTAATAATAGAGAAGCCAAGGAAGAGCATTAGTATAATTCTTGTAACGCTAAGGATGTGAATGGAATGATAACAGGAATGAATAGGACATGAAGCCACTTGAGATGAAAGAGGCTTCCATGACAAAATGCACCTATCACATTTCACGAGACTTAGAATAACAAATGAACAAGCAGTCAGCAAAATTTTGAGGACCTACGTGTTGTATGAGTTTGGGGTTTGCCCCAATTACGCACGTGCTCAAATTGCACTCTGGCTGATCCCCATGGTCTAGGAATGGTATAAAAGCTCTTCCAACTCAGGGCCCTTCATTCCACTTTACTTGCTTTATTCACCTCCGTGAAAAGGGTAAGTATCCCTCTATGTGTTTTCTTTCCTAAAATTCAAATATATCTTTTCTGCCAGTTTTAATTAAGGTTGGAATAATTCATAAGTATTCTAAGATTCTTAATAGTGTTGGATTATTTTGCCATGAATTAATTTTTCTTATTTGATATTGTTCATCAATCTATTTGGGTTTAAAATGGTAAAACTAGAGTATTCAAAAATTATTGTTTCCTGCTAATACAAATGTGAGCTGTCAAAGCAGCTTCCAAAACATCAGCAGAAGGCTCATTCAATCACTAGGAAGTTGTTAAGGAGTTTGCATGTTTGTTATATGTGTCTGTACATATGTATGTGTTTGTTAAAGGGACAAGCTCAACTAGAAAGAATAGAGAAATACTGTCTAAAGAAGTATTGGAAAACTAGGCATGAAGTACTGGAAAACTAGGAGATGAAACTAGGAAATCCTAAGCTACCCTTTACATTGCTCTTCCTTTAAGCAGGGAGTTGGACTAGATGACCTCCAGAATTCTATTCTAATGTCTCATTGGTTCTACTGGGGGAAAAAAAATGGTTTCCACGGATTTTATTTTAGATTGGCTTAGATCCTATGGTAAAAGTCTTTCTGAAAGCTCACATCCCAAAATACTTACCTGCAGCAGGTTACCTGAGTGAGCCAGTTTCTCATGTGGGGAATCAGACAATCTTTTAACCCACCCTGTGACTCTCAAGCTACTTTGCAAGCACTTCAGGGCAGGGAATGCCTTATTTAGTCCGTGTTTAAAGCAGGTTCAGCATACTGGTAGCATGATATTAGCTATTGCTTCTGGAAGCATGTTAAAAAGTCAATACCAGAGTTGTTCTTCCAGCTACCCATTAATTTACCACATGACCTTTGCTGGTTGTCAGGTTACATTGCTTTGTTTTTGCTAGGATAAAACAAACATGAAACAACCTTTCAGACACAGGCATTTGTAAGAGTGGCTGCAAAGTTTAGTGAAAGTAATTTGCAAAGTAAAATGCTGGATTATATTTTTGCAGTGTTTAGCAGCAGGGTGGGACAAAGAACTACTTCTTCAAGAGAAGCAAGTGTAAGAAATTAGGAATAAGACTGTAGAAGAGCTGACTGCTTAGTGTGCAGTTTGGGCAATGCCGATTTACAAGAGGGAGAGATGTTTCATGAAAATACTGAAGAGAAGGAAGGACAAGCAAGACCTGAAAGATAAAGCCATTATTCTAGTCCATGTGTCCAAATTTCAAACTCTTTTTTCCCATTAAACATGTAACTTTCTTTCACTTATCAGCATCTGTCACAGCTTACCTCCATCCCTACGAGATGTCTTGCTACGACCTGGTCTCCAGCTCTGCCTGCGGTGTTGCTCGCCCCCAGCCTCTCGCTGACACCTGCAATGAGCCATGTGTCCGTCAGTGCCCTGATACCACCACTGTGATCCAGCCACCTCCAGTGGTCGTCACCCTCCCCGGACCCATCCTCAGCTCTTTCCCCCAGGATTCAGTTGTGGGATCCTCTGGAGCACCCTTCGTTGAGGGCTATGGTGGCCTGGGAGGCTATGGTGGCTATGGGGGTCTGTACGGATATGGAGGCTATGGCTCCCTGGGCTATGGAGGTCTCTATGGCTATGGGGGCTATGGGTCCCTGGGCTATGGTGGTCTGTATGGATATGGGGGATATGGCTCCCTAGGCTACGGTGGTCTGTATGGCTGTGGGGGCTCTCTGGGTTATGGGGGTCTGTACGGCTATGGTAGACTCTACGGATCTGGCTACTCCAGCCCTTACTCCTACTGGCACAACAGGTACCTCCGTGGCAACTGTGGCTTCTGGTAAACTCAACAGAAAAATCCACTGAATAGTGTGCAAAATGCAGATTCACCAGTGAGCAGAGGAGTGACAGCTCTCACAAATCCTGTTCAGTGCAGTGTCTTCTGCATGCTCCACACCTCTCCTTTTTTCTTTTGAATTCTTTCCTGATACCTTCATGGGTTCAATTGCTTGTTATCCTCAACTTGATCATACTTGTGCCTGAATTCAGTAAGACATTTAACAGCGTCTTTCAAAATGCATTTGACTCTGACATCTTGGATATACATTCTTGATATTGCAATATACTTTTGTTCTTTTCATTCTCATTAAAATTCTGTTGCATCATTTAAAGTAAGTCTGTTGTGGTTTTGCATTCTCATCCATTCTGAACTTGCCAGCCTTTCTGGATAAAGCTGCCTGTTGTACATAGGGCTGCAATAATATTGTGCAAACCCAGCCTTCATAGTGAAAGTCTCCATGAGGAGCCCTTGCTAGGCCTGTTTTGCTACTGAATTGCAACAACATGGTCGCAACATGATGGTCATAGATGAACAGCAACCTTCTTTGCACATTGCTTTATTAGACTCCCCATCTATGAGTTTGTGAGATAGTTCTTTGAACTACAAGGGACTGTTCACATTCTGAAAATTAAGGCCTGGTTTATTCCACTGCAGACTTCTAATCTAATGTCATACAAATAATTTCACAACCACAGCTCTTAATGGAAGATTGGTGAATGCTATAAAATGAATTTCATATTCTGTGTTTCTCTAGTTTAGACCAGCCTATTAATAGCACTAACCTGTGCTATTAAATTGTTTCACACTCCAAAATTCTGCCTGTGTGCAAATGACACTTCTTCAAAACCACAATAAGGACTATGTGCATAATAATTTTTGATTGAGTTCCTACGTTTGGGACTTCTCTGGTTCCATTTATGTTATGTATATATGAAAAACAAATAGTATTTTGTAAATATTATATAGGTAGCCTAAAACTGAACAAAATTACTGTGCTGTACATGGCATATCTTCTTAGCTTATCAGTAAAGCAAGTAACCATCTCCTCACTCAAGCAGATGCTTATCTTGCAAGATAGCTTTCTTCAAGTGGTTCAGCTGCCAGAAGATCTTAGGCTACATATTTTACTACAGTAAGATGCATGACCAAGCATAATGTAACAGTGTGCAAAGAAACTGCAACCAGAACCTGAAAGCAGAATACGAAGAAAAAAAAGCAAGTGCTGCTGCTCATGCCCAGCTCCACCCTCTGTAACTGGACAGTTCATACCACACAATTCTCAGCATTCATTACTTAAGAAGTCAGCTGTAAATCTGCCTTCTAGTAGTCTTTTGTAAATTGAATGGCTCTTCCTGCAAGACCAACACCTTCTGCAGTGGTATCCAGTTTTAAAACAACAGGCAGAAGGGGTATCCTACTTGCTGCCAGGACCTTAAAATCTGCAAGGCAATCCGTTGTGGTAAAGATGACCATAACAAAAGCTCCTGTAACAAAAGGAGCCCTTAAAGTATGGGTGCTAACAGAGATCCTGTCCTGAAGGAAGAAACTAAGCATCTGGGCTGGTAATGTGATGACAGTGGATGGTGGCTGAGCCACTGCCCTCAGGTCAGGGCAATCAGTTCCTTGGAGCTCTTGACACTGGTACTGGACATGAATTGGTCAACTGGAAACATGACTAAATGTATGTGTAACACAGAACAGATTCCTCTGGAACAGGAAGAAAAGCCTAAATCTCCTGGAAATGGGAAAGGTACAGCAGTCTGGATCCTCTGCAACACTAATTTAGTTCCAGATCCATCCCACCTAATTGTAACTACTCCCCCCTTACTCCTCCCCTCTACTTACTGCTGTGGATGTAATTTCTCAAATTAGTAAAAGATCTATCAAAATTTTTTTTTCAGTGATGGTTAATTGCTTAGCGGAAACACAGGAATATAGAAGGTCACATGCTTCCTCTGACAAATGGTTGGTTTTATCCTATACCTTGTCTGTGATAAAAGGCAGCTCCACATGGTCTGACGTTTAATGCATTGTTGAATGAACTGTCCAAAGGCTAACCTGATTCCTAACACCCCAAATGGCCTTTTTGCTGTGAGTAGGCAGCTTTACTTACATCTCCTCCAAGATTTGGCTTTCTTCCATACAAACAAATTTGAAACAATAACTGGAAAACCAAGTAATTAAGTATCAAGAAGACATATCCTCTGATAAACGCATTTGCAACTGAGGCCTTTATAGTGTAAGAGTACAGAGCAGGACTACAGGCAAAGTTTTAGTATCTGTTTAACAGATTATAGCTCAGATTTGAGCTAGTGGAGATCTTAGCCCTTAAAACCTGAATATAATACTGCTTCCTCCTAAATGATAAAAGAGAACCAAACTCAATCTACAGAAAAAGAACAATCTGATATCTAGCAAACAGCTGGCTGTGGGAAGAAGGCGATAGAAATAAATGCAAGGCAGTTTTCAGGAGCGACTTTTTATGCATTTCCTCAAACTGTCTGGAGAACCTGAGGCTCCCATTAACCCCAGCCTACATTTATCACAGGTGGTTCACCTCACAATGATGTAACAGTTTTGCTCAATATTTATATGTATTAGTTGATTCAAATTCTCATGATGCGTAAAATGCAAATGACAAAACAAATATTTCTTTCATCTTAGCACTTAATTGGCAAGATTCATTCCTGGTAATGGTCCATTAAATACATTAGAATGACAGGAGGAATTATGTTGGCTTTGTTTTTTTACCTCTTCTTCTATTGGTTGACATAATGAGGGTAGCTCAAATGTTAATCATAATTGCCATCTTCTTTAATATGCAGGTTTTCTCTCTTTCTTCCTTACCTATGCTGGACAAAGTATAATTGATACAAACCATGGTGGTTTTCCTTCAAAATCACAATCCTTATCTGAAGTTGGCATTCAGATTTGGACAGGACCAGCATGTACTTTTCAGAGGAAAATTCGAAAGACACTTTGCAAAGTATTTTTTAAAATCACCCTGATTGTATCCCAGACAGCCCAGTTGTTCAGTTTCTTCATATTTGGTCAAAACAGGTGAAGAGTTTCTTTGCCAGATTACAGGCAATTTGTTAAATATATTTTTTTAGGAAGCTGAGGATGTGTTTAAAACACAGAAGAGTGGTAGAGCACTTGTAATTAGACTAGGAAAACCCTAGGGAAAGCTCTCAAAACATGGGAACACAGGCAGGTGCTGCAGAGGTTTGTTCCACGAACAGTGAAGGTGCCGTGAATTAATACAACATCAGCCCTGAAGGAGCTTCTACAAGAACAAATAAATGAAAACCTGAAGTATGAAAGAAAATCAGCTGAAAACCCAAGGTTAGAAATCATGATCTGGCAAAGTGAACAGGAAGAGTATGTTTGACCAGTACAATTTAATAAACGTATTTCAAAAGGCTGGGCTCTTTAAATCCAACCACGTAGTTATATTACAATAATGACAAACCACTTGATGCGTAAACTACCAAGGAGGGGTTGGTAAGTGCTTAAAAACACACACAAAAAGTATTTGAACACCCTTTGTGAAGATTATTGTTCCTGTAATCCCTTGGGGCCATCTTAAAGTCTCATAATTTATGTATAACTTCTGGCAAAAATACTGCAATGCTTAATTAACAAACAACCCACCTATAAGCAAATGAGGATTATGGCGGCTGGGCCAGGCCTTTTTTATTACATTTATTATATTCAGAGTATTGGAATACGGGTGGGACACACCTCATCAAACCTTCCCTGTTTACAAGCTGGGTGTTTCAGCTGAGCTGGTTTTCTGTCTCCATAGTCAATGAAAACAGAATTGGTATGTTTTGAGAGTGATACCAATTCTACTAAAGTCAGCATCCAAGATGGGATGAATTGTCTTGTAGAAATTCTTGTCCCTCCCTACTAAGTATTGGAGAATACTGAGTAACTTCAAATGAGAAGTCACTGGGTAGTGAAAATTGGGCTCTGCAACAATATGCACTTAGTAGGAGATGCCCTCCTAGTCAGGAAAGAAAATGAGAAAAATAATAAATCCATTGTTGGATTCCTTATGTCATTCGATTGCTTTTCCTGACACTTACCCAGTAAGTTTGGGATGGAAGAACTAAAAAAATTGTTTCTGTGACATCCTCCAGTGAAACTTTGGTTCAGTGTAGGGTCTAGAGAAGAAGTCTTATGAGGAGCAGCTGAGGGAACTGGTGTTGTTCTGGAGAAGAGTGGGGTTGTAGTCTGGAGAAGAGAAGGCTCAGTAGGGACCTTACCTCTCTCTACAACTACCTTAAAGGAGGTTGTGGTTAGGTGGAGGTCGGTCTTTTCTCCCAAGTAACAAACTATAGGACAAAAGGAAATGACCTCAAGCTGCACCAGGGGAGGTTTAGGCTGGAGATTACAAACAATTCCATCATGGAAAGGGTGCTCAGGCATTGGAACAGGCTGCCCAGGGCAGTGGTGGAATCACCATCCCTGGAAGTGTCCACAAACCATTTAGATGAGGCCCTCAGTGATATGGTTTATTGGTGGCCTTGGTAGGGCTGAGAACAGTTGGTGTTGATCTTAAAAGTCTATTCTAACCTAGTCGATTCTATGACTTTATGATTCCTTGAATTCCTTTGTAACATGAAGGACTAGATATAAGGGCCAAACTACACTCCATCATACGAACAAAACAGAAAGAGAATATATAGACTAAACAGATGCAGTGTTGAACAGAAATGTGTAATCTCACAAAGATACTGAGAAATTTGCTCCTGCTTCACCATTCTCTTGTGTTCTGTCCTCCTTCAGAGCTGTGCAATCAATACAGAGAAGCTAGTAATTATTAATCTGTTTGCATTTACATCCATTCTACATTGCTGAACCCATCAGATAATCTGTGTGTGCCTTTAAGAATCCAGATGTAAAATAAGGAAAAAACACTGGTATCCCTTCAGAGGAAATTTCAGCTTTTGGTTTAAACATAGTTTCAGGTACTAAAAGATATTGTTTTCTGCTAGTCTTGCCAAACAGCAAGGAAAAGCCAGAATTTCTAAATCACAGACCATAGGACAATGTCTGTGATTACCATAGGTACAAGACCTCTCTCAAGTTTTGTGGCTGTGGATCAAAAGGTGTCTTCTACCTCACTGAACATTTCATTGCAAAATGTGTGAGTAGATTAGATTACAGCTTAGATCTGAGGCACTTAAATACAAACATGTATATGACAGCAGGTTATAGCTCTGATTAAAATCATTATAGGAAGGTAATGAAGGAAGTGCCAAGTAAATAGAACCAGTTTAATTCGTCCTGCAATGCCAGTAAGCAGGGTGGAATGATACCAGCAATGAAGCTGGTCAATTAGGCTTCAAGATGAAAGAGAACTGGAAGCTGGAATGTGCATATCATGCTATTCAGAGATTTAGGGTGATTTTGCAAACAGCAAGCAAAAACAGTTTCGTCACTTTGGAAAGTTATATGTGCTTCAAATTTGGGCTGGTTGGTGACTATGACTTCATGGGTAAAGTGTGCCTCAGCCCCACAGGCAATGTGAAGCAGCATATAAAAAGAGCAGGGGCTCAGACCTATTCCATCTCACTCTCCCCTGTACTCTCCTCTACACCAGGTAAGTCTGATGTGATTTCATTTCTTTCTAAATGCCAGAATGCCTTTTCTGGAACTTAGATTACTTTTCACTACCATTACATTAGAGCTTTTAGGACTAATTTTGATTCTCTTTTTCTCTCCCTCGGGTTGCTTTTCTTTTAGTTTTTGGTGGTTTGTTTTTCTTTTGGCAAATTTTGTTACTAGTATGCTTTAGGAGTCAGTTCTAGGGTTTGAAGCATTTATTTCAGTGTAATTCAAATTTGGACATTCTTGTACTCTCAGCACATTTAAAATGTAGGATGGCATGACCTTTAAAATGCAGAATTCTCCTATACTGTCCCAGCTAATGACTGAAACAGAAAGAGCATATCCTAAACTGTTCAATAATCCAGCCGAAGAAGGAGTGTTATCTAAATGGGAATTAAATTATAAAATATTCCTAGCTTGTATATATTTTTTATGGATAGATATCCATAAATCCTGCTTATTTTAAGCCTTTATTATTTTCACCAGGGACAATACTAAGGGAAGGAGAAGAGTGGTCTGATTCAGTGAACAAAGTAGTATTTCCTCTTTTTTACTTAAAAAAGTGCTAAGTCACAACCTTTTGTTATCAGATATTTAGCTGAAATGGTAGTTTGCAAACTGTTTATCTGATGAAGGAAATAATCTTCTTACATTGCACGAACCTGTTTCACACTCTCTATGAAATTACACAGCTATGCCAAGAAATATTTGGATAGAAATATTCTATAGGGTACATTTACTTATTTAATCAAGCCTATGAATCTATCCTAAGGCTCAAATGCTTTTGGGGTTTTACCAGAGGGATCATAAATATTAAGAGAACTGAGACCTAAAGGAAAACAACTGAAAAATATATTACTTCAAAGAGCTTGATTAGAAACAGGGACCTTGAAAGAAGAAGGAAATGTATGGTTAAAGCAGCGCTGGGTTTTTAACTCCACTCATCTCTCCAAAGATAAAACCTGCTTCTGTCCCATTCAGTGCAAAGAGGAGCTCTATTGTAGCTCCTCCAGCTCCTGGCATTCACCAGGGAGAAATGAAAAAGAAAAGAAGCAGCAGTTTCAGAAGGCTTGGCAGATCTGACAAGTGCTGGGATTACTGGATGGGGAAGATAAGAGTGAAGTTGATTGACTGGGAAGCTTGTGAACAGGCATCAGTTTTCCCCATCATCTGATGATCATTTTGCCTATTCTTCAACAACTGAGCACTTGACCTGTTGTTCCAGTAGATCTTGTGCTTTGTTTTGACTCAGCTCTGTGTTCTGTGTTTCAGGATCACCTTCATCCCTGCAAAGAAATGTCTTGCTACGATTTGTGCCCCACCAGCAGCAACATTGCCTGCCCCCAGCCCATCGCTAACAGCTGCAATGAGCCCTGTGTCCGCCAGTGCCCTGACTCCACTGCTGTGATCCAGCCACCCCCTGTTGTTGTCACCTTCCCTGGCCCCATCCTCAGCTCCTTCCCCCAGCAAGCCATGGTGGGCTCCTCTGGAGCACCCGCCTTTGGGGGCAACCTGGGGCTGGGAGGCCTCTACGGTGCTGGAAGCCTTTATGGGGGCTCTCTTGGATATGGAGCCCAGTATGGATATGGGAGTTCTGCCCTCTCCACGCTCAGCAGCGGGTTCTGCAGCCCATTCTCCTCCCGCCGGTACAGCCGCTTCCTCCGCAACAGCTGTGGGCCCTGCTAAAGGCAGCAGAAAGGTCTCACAAGAGAGGCATGAAGACCCAGATGCAGAGCAATAAGGATGGGGGTTCAGCATTTCTGCAGCCCTGCAGTGGAGCTACTGCCACTTTGCATTTCTGATCTTTCTTCTACATTTTGTTTAACCTTCCATTTCTAGTTCCTTTTTTGCTATTGTTGCCTGTTCCAGCTTTCCCGTTTTTTTTTTTTTTTTAACCATCATGGGGCAGCCTATTCCATATGGACATCACTCACAATGATGTGTATCTTCATCAGTAGTTGCACAACAGACCGAAGAAAGACAGCTGAGAAAAGCAGTACCTCTGAACAGGACATTTGTTGAACATTCTCTGAAATAGTCTGGCAACAGATTTTTCATATTCTTGCTTTGCAAATCTAGGCATTTCTTGCTCATTAAAATTGTGTTGCATTGCATGGCAGCCTTCTGGTTTCGTTTTCTCCATTTACCCACAGTATGTCCTAGGTAGCATCTTCCCGTGGGCAGGACCAAGCTGCTAACTGAGCATTTTTACTGCAGAGCATTCTAGCACAGACTGAACTTACACAGTATCACAAATGTTTCCATAATGACACACTTGAGCAGGATCTTTCCATCTTTTGAAGATGTGTAAAGTTTAAAATAACAAAGTATCTTAACTCCTTTAATGTTATTTAAACATTAGTTCAGTGGGGCCTTCCCAGGAACGCCTGGAGAATTGGATGGTGGTGAAAAACTGGCACTGGCTGCCCAGACAATCTGTGGCTGCCCGATCCCTGACAGTGTTCAAGGCCAGATTGAAGCAACCTGGTCTAGTGACAGGAGGCTGGAACTGGGCGAGCTTTAAGGTCCCTTTCAACCCAAACCATTCTGTGACTCTATGATTCTATGCTAATTGGGGGTTTTCATGTTAAACTCTGCTTAACCAAATGCCACCAAGGTGATGCTCAGCAAAGCACTTTCCAAATGTAAATTTGCCCCTATAAATTCACAGACACAATACTTAATCTACAGCACTGACACTGCTCAGTGTTCCAGACATCCCAAGCAGTGTTTTCTCCCCAGTAAAAAAGAGGAATAATCCCTGTTCCCTGTAAGAAATAACTGTAGTACATTAAATGCCAGGAGCAGCAGAGACTCAGTGCTTTAAGCTTCTGGTGATACAGCCAATTCAAATTGTAATGAAGCTGCAAATGAGGCATTGAGCGCTGTGTAAACAAAGAATAAAGGTAGTCAGAGCCTTCAAGTGTTTTCAGAGTAAATAGACAAACAAAAAGTAAGTATCGTTAGAATCTTTTATACAGAGATTAAAGTCTGTGTTTTCTATACTAATAAAAACATTAGTAAATATTTTCTCCAGGTGACAAAGAAACCACTTGGCAAAGCCCAGAACTGAATTCCTCTCTCCAGTATCCCCACCTAACAATCATACGGTCTCTGTTTCCCGTTTTCCATTCCACTGGTTAGCTTCAGGTTTGCTTTTCATTCTTATTCACGTTTTCAAGGAGTTCTGCTTATTTTAGCTGAAAAATGGTGCACGGCATGGCCAGTAAATTACAGGACATATGACATTTAACAGGTCATAGAATCATGGAATCAAGGAACAGTTTGGACTGGAAAGGACCTTTATAGATCGCCTAGTCCAACTCCTTTGCCGTGAAGAGGGATATCTTTTCACTAGATCAGGTTGCTCAAAGTCCCATCGAAACTGGCCTTGAACACTTCCAGAAAGCACTGACCTTCAAGACCTGGGGTTTATATAATTTGTTTTCTAAGTAAAAAGGGAGAATAAGCTGGGGGAAAAAAAAAAAAAAAAAAAAAAAGGAAAAAAGAAAGATTAATTTATTTAAGTTTCTTGGACAGTTCAGGTCCTCCAACTGCAAAATTGATAAAAAGGTTGACTGCAAGTAGTCACTTTACTAATTCCTCCAGAATCAAAGCCTGGAAGGAAGCTGTCATTCAGTTTATTTCTGGCGTATTTATGGATCTGTTATGTTAAGCCATTGTGCCTGCAGGCTATTTACCAGTGGTGTCAGTCTAAACCACATAAAAAACCATTAGGCTCTAGTAATGATTAAATATTTAGTGAATCCACCTATTTAAATCAAACATGAAAGGCTTAGCTCCAACAGATACCTGTCTTAAAATGTAATTTAGTGCGTGGGGAGGACATATACTTCAGGCTGTGTTTACATCATCTTTATGAAGCAACTTCTGATTGCATCTCATTTAACAATAGTGTTACCTTGCACTAAGATACAAGCACATGTTCAGAGCGCATAGACAAGAGAAGAGAGGGTGTAGTGACCTCTATAGCTCAAGAAGAGACAGTGTGATTTCATTTATTGTTGCTTCCTGTTCTTGGTAATTACTTGTTTCACTTGCAGGAGGAACAAGAGTTGCTGGTGCTATCAACAGCCTGGACTTCACATGATTGACCAAGAATTGCAGGAGACCTCACAGCCAGGTATGATCCCCATGTTGCAGTGGCCAGCAAACTGCCAAGATCTCAAGACTGCTTCCAGATCATGATGATAAACAGCAGCTGGCATTCCTCCCATCTTATATCTTCATGTGGTGTGACTTGAGACGCTTTGGTACTGACAGTGAAATCGCTTATCTTCTGCTGTGCTCATCTGTATTTCACTTAGATGAACGTGTAATCCAAGTTCAGCCTGCTGTGCATTTGGGAAGTAGCAGACTGCTGATTGTCAGGACCTGTACAATGGAAGGTAGTTAAAGAAATGTCCTTTGGTGTTTTCTCTGGTCTGTTGTCATAAAATGCAAATTCAGACTGGCAAATAATGGTGGTGTGAATTGCTATGTCTTCAACCATTCAAAGTCAATAAAGTCCATCAATCAATCAATACATGTTATGGTGATCTATTTTTAGTCTGGGCTCTAACCTTCAGCTCCCACATCTGCCTTTTCTGTTGTATAACCAGTACACAGGCAGAGCAGCTTCATCCAGGTATGTTGACTACATCCACATGAAAGGTTCTTTGACTGCAACTTTTCACCCCAGCATGAGAAACCAGCTTCTATTGCAAGTCCAGAGCACCTTCTCAGCAAGATGGGCTGAGAAGAGGATCGATGTAATTCTACTGTGTGGGATGAAAATAAAAGTCCTGAAACAAGGAATTCGGCAGTGATCAACACCATGGTTGTAATGTGTGGGGTTTGTTCATCAAGAAGTTTGGGGGAAGGGAGGCTCTCTGTGGCTGTCGTTATGTGAAACAATACTCCTTTTGACTCTGTAACTGTTGTACTCTGTAGGTAATGGGGGGAGGTCAGTTGTATTGTTGCGCGGGATTGTGAGAGAGAAAAGGGGGCTGGGTGGCTCGAAGTGGTGTCTTGTTGCAACGCTTGAGGGGAGGGGGCTGCGACGGTGAGGAGGCTACCAGTGGACGCTTCTCGAAGCCTCTGGCAGCTTCTCGAAACTTCCCGAAACTTCTCGGTAATGAGACCCCTGCAACAAAGGGAACCAATGGGGAAGAGCCCTGTCAACATCCGAGTGAGGAGGGGCGACAGGATTGGCTGGGGCCTTGAACCGGAGAAGATAAAGGACCGCCTCCCAGGGACCGCGTGCGCGCGTCTTGGGAGGAGCGGAGGGCTCCCCGGCGCACCCAGCGCTGTTTTATCTGCTATCGCTTACTCAGTTTAATAAAATTTATACTTTAAACCAAAATTGGCTAGAATATTGATAACAATGGTGATGTGTCTTGAAAATAGCTGAACTGGTAGCTTTAGAGCTCTGCATACTGGTACAAATAAGTAGTTTTTTTGACAGCATCCTTGTGACTCCGAGAACGCAGGGCATTGGAGACAGGAAGCATGAAAACAAGGCAAAGCCTTCAGACACATCCTAACAAGAAAGAGGTGTGACCTGGCTACCTCACGGGAGCTTCATATCATTTCAGCTCTTTTTACAAGTGAAGTCACACCTCCAAACCCTTTGAAGTTATTGCCACATTCTTGATCCTGTCCAAACAGATTTCTGTGGTGTGAGGCAGGGAATTAGCCTGCTCAAGCCTTGTGAAGTTTGTCAGTGCATTGCTGGTACTCCTAGGAAGAGCAGTTTCATTCAGGGAAAAGCAGAAGTGCTGAGTAATGTCTGATGTATAGTCCATCCTGGTGAGGCACTGGAACAAGGAACTGGTTGACCAAGGAAGTTGTCTATGTTCCATCCCTGGCAGTGCTCAAAGTTATGTTAGACAGAGCCTTGGGCGGCATGGTCTAGTGTGAGGTGTCCCTGTCCATGGCAGGGGGGTTTGAACTGGATGATTTTTAGGTCCTTTCCAAACCAAACCAGTCTATGACTCTATGTTTTATGATTCCACAGTCACCTGTGAGAAGCCCGAAATTTATGTGTAAAGATCCTGAGGTGGAAATTTTCTTTTGTTCTGAATGGTGTGTGTTGTTCTGCAGGGAAGGTTTAAGAATAAATCTTTTCCTTATTTTAACTGGGGTTGACAAGTATTTCAAGGTACTAGTGGGAAAGTTCAAAGAACTCACAGAATTTCAGCAAAGATTTGCCATTCAGTTAAAAATTCCCGATGGCTATTCAAAGGAAAGTTATACCCACAGATTGTTACATCCTGCTTTTAAACAATGAAAACTATCTTAAAACCAATGTATGGGAACATGATTAAACTGGAGCCGCAGGCAAGTACTGAGGCTTCAAAGTTGCTCATGTGTTGCACACTGTAACCACACCTGTGCTGGAGGAAGTTTCAAACTTAGTTGTAAGGGTTACAAAACATGTTTATCCAGCATGAAATTATTTTTGTGAAGGCAGTTATTACGCTCATTCCTGCTTAAAGGGCTTGGTCACCTTCCAGCTTTAGGCACTGAAAGAAGTCAATCACTCGTGTTTCACTGTAGAGGGTGATGCTCACCCAGAATGGTATGTAAACAGCAAATTACGGGGGGGGGGGGGAGGGAGACAAAACACAAGAAGAAAGCTCAGAATTTTGATGCACAATAATTTAATGAGAATGTAAGAGGCAAATATCTTACTAAGAATAAAAACACAGGGAAAATATTGCCAGAGTCTCATTAAAGGCTGCAAGTAGAGAGTTGCTCCAGGGCTATGCATTCCACACACATTACTCTTTCTTTTTCATAGCATAGAAAGACTTACACAATCTCATCCCACTTTCAACCAGCCAAAGATCATTGATATAACTAATTTGAGGCCCTTATTATCAGGAGCCACTGGAAAGAATAGTCAGAAAATGAAATTAAATCATAAGCTTGAGAATAACATGTAAGAGTGATTTTTAGTGACGCACAGTTCATGCCCCAGGAAAGCAATCCCCCTAATAGAAGTTGTGGAGGCATATCTTCCATTGTGTTGAGTGATTGCTCCTTCTTCATTACACATTTAACATGGTCTGCAGCTTCCAAAACCATAACCACTGGATCCATAGGAAGAATATGACCTCCCATAATTGTACACGCTCCTAGAGCCATAGGA